TGTGGCTGGCTGTGTTTCTTGTGTTTGCAGAAATTGCACTTTATGTGCCGACAGCTTGTTGGTTGGTGGAGGCGGCTCTGATCTTAGCTCTTCGTGTTTGGTTGTGTGCGTTATCCACTCTTCGGCTTTGCGTTTGTCCAGTTTTGGAGGCGAAGATATTTGTTGTGTTTGTAAGGTTGAGCTGTCCTGACTGAAATCGGGAATGGTTTTATCTGCTGGTGTGGAGAATGTAACCTTTTGAACTCTCTGCGTTTCTTGGTTTTGAAGGAATTGCACTTTGGCTGTTGACAACTTGTTGAGTGGAGGCCGCGTTTCTGAACGGAGGTCTTGCTCTCTAATGGCGTGCGTTATCCACTGTTCTACATTTTTCTTTTCTACTTTATGATGAGGCACTGTTTGTTGAAGGTTGACGGTATTGCTGTGCTGCTTGAATTCTTCTATTGCATGTAATCCGTGGGAGTCTTTTTTGTGCTTTAGGAAGTCTCTGCTATTCTTTTCTTCTCCTTGTCTGGTTGCTGATGCCATGTGTGTTTTTAAGGAGGGCGTTTCTTTTGTTGTTTCTTCTGTTTGTCCACTATTGCTTAAGGTTTGTTTTCCGTTTACTTGTTCGTCCTTTTCGTTTTTAATACGTGTTGTTGTAGGTTTGTCTTCGCACCTTTCTATGGTTTGTAATATGGCTACTCCGTTTTGAATTTTGTATGTGTAGCTTGTTTGTGACTTGCTCTTCACCTTGGGTTTTGTTATTTCTGTTAAGCTGTGATCACTTTGATTCTCGTAGTCAGAAGCCTTTCCTATATTATGCAGACCATATTCTACAGGAGAGTACTTGTTGGATTTCACTTGCGAATATGAAGGTGTACAGTAGGAAGCGTGGGGGTATTTTGCTTCTTTATGAGAGGTTTTAGCTTCCGTGTTTTTTTCTCCAGTGTTAACTTTAACTGAAGTCATAAAAGGTGGGTTTTGCTGAATGGTCAATTCTGTGTGTTGCTTACCATTTTGATAATATGTGCGAATAACTTGAGTCGAGGTTTCGACTTTTGTGGCTGGCTGTGTTTCTTGTGTTTGCAGAAATTGCACTTTATGTGCCGACAGCTTGTTGGTTGGTGGAGGCGGCTCTGATCTTAGCTCTTCGTGTTTTATTGTGTGCGTTATCCACTCTTCTGCTTTGCGTTTGTCCAGTTTTGGAGGTGGCGATGTTTCTGGTGTTTGCAAGATGAAGCTGTTTTGAGTGAAATCGGGAATGGTTTTATCTGCTGGTGTGGAGAAGGTAACCTTTTTAACTTTCTGCGTTTCTTGGTTTTGAAGGAATTGCATTTTGGCCGTTGATAACTTGTTGAGTGGAGGCCGCGTTTCTGAACGGAGGTCTTGCTGTTTAATGGTGTGCGTTATCCACTGTTCTACATTTTTCTTTTCTTCTTTTTGATGAGGCACTGTTTGTTGAAGGTTGACGGTATTGCTGTGCTGCTTGAATTCTTCTATTGCATGTAATCCTTGGGAGTCTTTTTTGTCCTTCAGGAAGTCTCTGCTATTCTTTTCTTCTCCTTTTCTGGTTGCTGATGCCATGTGTGTTTTTAAGGAGGGCGTTTCTTTTGTTGTGTCTTCTGTTTGTCCACTATTGCTTAAGGTTTGTTTTCCGTTTACTTGTTCGCCCTTTTCGTTTTTTTCACTTGTTGTCGTAGGTTTTTCTTCGCACCTTTCTATGGTTTGTAATATGGCTACTCCGTTTTGAATTTTGTATGTGTAGCTTGTTTGTAACTTGCTCTTGACCTTGGGTTTTGTTATTTCTGTTAAGCTGTGATCACTTTGATTCTCGTAGTCAGAAGCCTTTGCTATATTATGCAGACCATATTCTACAGGAGAGTACTTGTTGGATTTGACTTGCGAATATGAAGGTGTACAGTAGGAAGCGTGTGGGTATTTTGCTTCTTTATGAGAGCTTTTAGCTTCCGTGTTTTTTTCTCCAGTGTTAACTTTAACTGAAGTCATAAAAGGTGGGTTTTGCTGAATGGTCAATTCTGTGTGTTGCTTACCATTTTGATAATATGTGCGAATAACTTGAGTCGAGGTTTTTGTCGTCTGCACATTTTTCTTAGATATTTCTTC